AGGCTGCTCATTGGTTTAGCACAATACTATGATTGAATAAGTTGTATTTCGATTGGCGAATGAATCGCTACGCATATCTGTCGATATCAGTAGCACATACCATACCAGAACCAGGATTCATGACCCAAAATAGAGAAGCAGATTAACATTAGAGAATACTTTATTCAATGCAATTACAGGCAGTTACACAAACTATGAGTTCAGAATAGAGATCAATAATAAGAAAGAAAATCACGTATTTAATAGTCTGTAGGCTGTGGCTGTTTGTCCACAATTAATGACCAATTACACTTTACTTTCACTACCATAAATAAAAAGTTCACTTTAATTTTTTTATAATCGTGTGTTTTTTGATCAATTTTTCAGTGTGATAGATAAGCAGTGAAACTTTCTGATTGAGATCATGAATCAATCATTGCTAGATCACCAGTGCAAACCTGGAAACACTGAATGAACATTTCGTCCTGATATGGGACACCGCAGTAATGCACATCCAGGGTCCCTCACAAAGGAGACTCGACCCCAAGACTTTCGATCTCGCACGCAAACACTTAACTTCTAGACCACTGGGCCGACCGGCATCTAACGGTGTTAATGCCTAACTTCAATCAATCTACGAAATTTCGCTACCAACATTGAGAACCTGGAAGTACTGGATGGCTGTTTTGTCCTAGTACTGGACTCCTCAGAAGTGGGCATCTACAATCCCACATGCGCGTATGAAATTTACTAAGTGTTTAGAGATAGCTAGCAAGGTAATTTGTAGCTGGATTCGATGCTAGTTAACAATCATAGGCAAAAATGTACCTGAAAACTTTATGGAAATGATACTTCAACTAAATCGATACTTGTCAAAAGTAACATCTCTGATATTGTCAGAATTTATGATTTTTATGACACTAGAACTCACATTTTATCTAGTATGATAATCAAAGAACGGTGATTGAAGTCCTGTAGAGTCAAACTAAGTGATAACTGAATGATAACAAACGTGATATTTATCGTTAGTTCTGTTCGAATCCCCAGTGGCTAAGTTAGTTGATGACATTCGATCACTGAAAAAAAGTTTTAAAAAATCATCAGTTGTGATTTAAATGTGATTTTGAGTAGATTATTTGTTTAGGTAGATAGATCAACTTCACTTCAGATTAGGTTTATGTAGTTAAATGCATATGGCTTCCACTATATTTTAAGAGAGGTCGTTTGAATAGGATTCATTAGATAACTTAAAAGGTTACCATTACATCAAGTCCGTAATATATATCAATGAGTTTTACAATGATGGAACTTATTATTGTCCTTCTCTAGATTCCACTGCTAGACACTATCCATCTTTGCTTAAAAGACTTATGACTTCAAGCAATATCGAGGTAATCCGCACAGGATGCATATATGTCAACAAGAGACTGATCAATTGAAGTCCTAGATTGAAATCAAACTGATATTGTATTTTGATTGAGAATATGAATCGATGAATGTTGGATGCGTACTGCTGAGAATCCCCAAACTAGAACGAGACAGCCATCCAGTGCTTCCAGGTTTTCAATCGTAGTCCAAAATTCATCGATCCATGATCTCCATAACACCACATTGATGATATTATTTTTTCTAAATTTCAAGTGCCTACTTACAAGTCATTAAACTCTATTTATAAAAAAATAGATTTTCATCATTAAATCTGATCAAATCACATGAATTCATTTGGTATTGTTTACTTGAATCTTCCGATTGATGGTTAGGGCTGTAATCGATGAGTTTCTCTTATTGGCATATGTGCATACAGTGCATATTGCTTTAATTCACAAGCATTATAGGATTCAAGTAACCATAGCACGTGAATTTAAACTTCACCTCATTGCACAAACAAGTAGCTATCAGGAATCAGTAGCTAAGTGGAGAACGCAATAGTGTTTGGAGCGAACGGTACTGGGTTCGAATTCCGGAGTGAATATGAACTCTAGGATGCAGGTACATCCAACTGACGAGTACCAAATAGGATGAAACACGCGTCCTTTATTCCATTGTTAGCCACTGACTATATTTGCTTATAAATCACATGAATGTTATAAACCTATGTGATTCTGGAATAATAGCAACTGATTAAACAATGTTTTATTAAGATCAAGTGAAATTCATGTTATAAATTCATAGAGGTGAGTGTGATTGAATTGTATTTGGTCAATGAGAATGAAACAGCTATATTACCGTGCAATATGATTTAATTGATTGGAATTAGATATTAAAACTAATCAATAGTCTAGAGACTAAGCGTCAGTGAATAGGAATGAAGGTCCTGAATTTGAGTCCCGGTTTCAAGTGCCAAATACACATCTCTAAGGTATCCCACACTGAGATAGAATGGCCTACCAGTGGTTTCAGGTTTTCAATGTTGGTCTAGCTAAGATCAGTTGGTAATTTTAAAACTAGATAATGTGACACATTCAATTATAAAAGTTTGCTTCTATTTCTTTATGGATATCAATTAGGATAATAATTAACGTACAACCTAATACGTAAATATCTCAGCCCAATTTGACGTATTCCATACAAACGATGAGATGAAATTAACAACAAGTATAATAAATTATTCAAAATGATGTTTCAACCATGATATAGAGAGAAAATAGTTTTAGAAGACAGGATAGAAAGGTATGTATGCAGAAATATTGAACCTTAAGATTTAGATTGCTATAAAACGTGAGTACATCTAAACTGAATGCGATCAATATCGACCTTTATCATCCAAAGTTTTCAATAATTAGTTACTATAATAGAGCGGACAATTACCAGATAATTTGTATCGATTAACATGTAACTGTTTGTATATCTATAAAATAATTGATTTTTGGTACTTTGTACTGTTCTAATTTCATGCTTGAATTTGTGTTATTAGATGTTTATAGATTACTCTCAAATAATTATAAGCCTATAGATGGTTTGTGAAAATAATTGAATTTCATAGTTTAGGCTACTAGTGATCCTAGTTAGACAACAAATAAAAATTGGAAAATACTAGATGATTATTTCGTCTTAGAAAAGAACTCCTTAACAATGAGCCTTCATCGTCCTAACGAGGTCGATTCCAAGACTTCAAGGTTTATGGCAATCTGTGACCAATGAAGTCCAACCACGATAAGTGTGAAACACGTACCCATCAAAGGTATTGGTAGATGGCTGTGTAAATTCATGAATTAATTGAAATTAAACACGTAAACTGTCGTCCGAGGTACATATCTCATCTTCCTGGTGTTTTGGTTGTTAAATTGAGGAATAACGTCAAAATTACGGACCGGTTTGGTGTATATCGTAAACAGTATTATTAAATATAGATGAAAATCCACAACAGTTAGGTGGTTGGGTGAAATAAGCAGGAAACTCTAGACCGAAGTTTTTTATTAGTCGGGATTTGTTAGAATATTCTATGTGAAATTATGAACGCTCTTTTAATCCTTATAGAATCTGAACTCTACGATATTACGAGCCTTCTTTTTCATGACGGTCAGTTAGTATGAGATTTATCAATTGCCTTCAACTGTATCACATCTAAAACATAGTTTGATCTAACTTGATATTCATAATTTGTAAACATGGCTTCATGGAATTCTGTAACAAACACATGAAGCGATAAGATGACGCGAATGATGTAAGATGGTAAACCACGAATCTATAACAATTGTGTTTGTTACGGCAAGCATTTCGAGTCTCACCAAGTCGTGGGAATATTAGAGGTCAATGCCTGATCAGAAAATTCAAAGGAATATTATTTAATAAGCTTTTCACCCCATCAGCCAATCAATTATAAAAGTCAGGATTTTACTAACGCCACAATGCTTGATTGAACTCTTTAGTGGTCCATTACCTGACTCCATTATGAACATACCACAAATGATTTAAGAACATCAATTTCAAGTATTCCACTTATGCTAACCAAATTTTGTTAACGGTGGTAGTAGAAGGCCAAATAAGAATTAAGCTGAGAGGATCTATTACAGACAGTCTTCTATGTAGACAGACGATGAGGGACGCGAAGAAAAGATGAACGTGTCAACGTAGTGAGTTATAGGTCACTTAGTCGTCATAATTATGAAAAAGATACAATTAAACATACAGACACATACGCATATGTACCAAGCCTGATCAAGATTACACGTGAGTAATTAGCAAGGTTAAACATGTGGGTGATAGGACAAATAGGAAGATTAGAATAGTTCATTTATCAATATAAGGTTGAATATTAAGTTTAGAATGATATAATGAGTGAAACAATGTTAGATCAATATTGAAAATCTGGAATTACTAGACGGACGTTTCGTTCTAGTATGGGACTCCTCAGAAGTGTACATCCACGATCCTGAACTAAGGGAACTCGAACTCAAGACCTTCGATCTTACACGCAAACGCTTAACTTCTGGACCACTAAGGCGACCGGCATCCAACGGTGTTAATATCTAACTTCTATCAATCCATGATCTTTCTCAACCATTCATCTATTGTCTGAGGTAGATACCTATGTTTGCCATACACGGATTGGGCTCCACTGTTCACGGTTAATCTCACTAGAACATAAGGAAGTTCATCCTGAAACTAGTTACTAGTGAGCACATGATTATTATCAATTTCCTGGATTTGCATAGATTATAGTATTTTCAAGGTTGAATTCATTGTGTTCAGTCAACTGGAGTAAAATAAAATGATCTCTCTCCATATATATGAGAGACTAAAATCAGTTATTTATGACATTGATTTCTGCTATTAATAATGTATAGAATAACTGATTTTTATACATTAAATGTCCAATGATTTCAATTATAAAAAGTACTCATTTTTACACTGAAAACCTTGTTATTTTTGTACTTATCGACATTATTTACTTTGAATTACTATGGTAACAAATTAGTCATAGTAACTTATGGAAACATGAATGAGGTATCTTTAATGGTACATAATAACAATATTCCACAACGATAATCTCTTACTCTGCATGTAAACACTGACATAAATTAAGTCAGAATACAAAAGGTTAATTGTCTAAATGATTTATTATTATTGTTATCATCATCATCATCATCATCATCATCATCATCATCATCATCATCATCATCATCATCATCATCATCATCATCATCATCATTATCATCATCATCATCATCATCAGTGGCTTTGTCATAATATGGTACCTCACATAGAAGAACACCAATAACCATAAGATCAATTTAGTAATCAGATGGTTAGATTCCTTTGATTCAGTGATCTGCGGTTTTCGTGTTTACTAGGATATCTGTTGGCTCTTCATTCGGTTCTTTAAATTATATGTACCGTTGAAAAGTTTCAGACTAGAATGAAAGAGTTCTTGAATACTTCATGGTTTTCAATAGTATCTCAGATTAATGTCATAATATGACTCAAACTAAATTCAAATTCATTTATACTGGTTGTTTGAATCTTTACATTGACGTTATAATCTCTAGTTGGTCAATTACTTTTAGAGTGAGTACATCCTATGCAAACTCTCTCGATATCACTGTTAAGTTACAACCATTTTAAGCAGCTGCAGATATAAATTCAAACTATCCATAAAATATAAGTATTCACTTGTTTACTCTTCCTGATATTTACTTGTTCTGATCAGTATTGATATTCGTCGACAGCAAATCATGTGCCTCGTGATGTTGAATGCTAATTTCGTTCAGAATCTGTCGAACACGATAGTGCTATTTCCTTTAAGTAGGCTGAGACACTTCAACAGTAAGGGATGGATTACCTTGCATGAGAATGAGAACAGAACCTTTGGGTCACGTGGTTAAAAGTTATTATTTGAATTACTAACTCCAAGTTCCAGAGTATACCTTTTTAAATCATGGTTGTCGAGTGACAGGATAAGATTTCAAGAACACTGATGAATTAGTTATATGGGCTCGAGGTTTGGGCTTAGTAGTTAATTCTAGGAAGATAGTGCTCATGCACATCGGACATGGTGAAAGTTACCATTATACTATTAATGGTACATCTCTTCCACGCGTTCAAGAACATAAAAACTTAGGAGTAATGTTAAGTCATGACTTGAAAACAACTACGCATTGCAACACAACTGCTAACAAAGGTTATCGTGCGTTATGGTCACTTCGCCGAGCATTCAAATGCTTTAACAAGGAGATGTTTCGAATTTTATATCCCACCTGTGTAAGACCACACTTAGAGCATTGTATCCAAGCAGCTAGCCCACGTCTGATCAAGGATACTTGAGCGTGTTCAGCGTATGGGAACAAAATTAGTAAACTCTTTCTAAACTCCCTTACGATGAGCGCTTAAAACGCAAAGACCGTTCCCCTTTGTCGTATAGCATGACGAGAGGTAACCTTATACTGGCATTTCATATCTTTAATTATGATTTGGGTGTTAATATGTCTTTTCTTTTTACTTCCTTCAGCACTAGTAATCTCCGAGATCATAGCAAGAAAGTTTACAAACCGCGATCTAATAAACTTAAATTGGGGTATCGATTCTCTCATCGAGTACCCAATAACTGGAACGCCTTATCCAAATAAGTGATATCAACCCTATCAGTGAATATTTTCAAGGAGAAGCTGGATCTTCACTGGAAGGCAATCTGTCAGGATTAACACAGGTTGACCAACCTACTATCCTTACTACTGAATACATATTCTTTTCTAAACAGATCATGTAACTGCACTCGGTATTGTTTAATTGAATCTTTCCATTGATATTTAGGACTGCAATTGATCATTCTCTTATTGGTATATGTGCATACTGTGTGTATTGCCTCGATATTGCCTTAATTCACAAGCCTTATAAGCAAAGATGGATAAGGGTTAGCAGTGGAATCCAGGACACGCGTTTCGTCCTATTCGAGGCTCATCAGCGGGATGTATCCATCTTTGTATATTACGCTAGTGAATGAAACACGCATATATATATATATATATATATATATATATATATATATATATATATATATATATATATATATATATATATATATATATATGAACTCATTATTATTATTATTATGACAAATTTGTATTCATGTTAATATTGAAGTTTACAGTAAGTGAATTTCATGCATGATGAAGTTTATAGTGTATTGTATTGTTATAAATTAGTCAGTTTAACTGACCTAATAATCTTATGAAATAAAGATGAATAAAGGTCAAGGATACAATTATAATTTATTTTAAATTATGGTACGATTTATTTTTATTTAATCAATAAATGTAGATTAGGTTATGATTTAGTCAAAAGAACAATGAAGTATTATAAGATTATAAAAACATGTTTTAAATAAATGTGTATTATTAATAGTTGAGATCATGAGTCAATTGAAGTTAGATCACCATGGAAAACTTGGAAGTATTGAACGACCGTTTCATCCTATTGCGGGACTCTTCAGCAGTGTATCATAGCGTTCACACGCGTAACCAATAGGTCATGAGTTCAAATCTCGCGGGGTGGGATTATGGATATGCACTACTGAGAAGTCCCACAATAGGATGAAACGGCTGAAACTCATATCGAAATCAGTCTATGGTTGAAGACGAATGCAGCGCATCATGTCAGTTTAAATGCTCTACATATATTTTTCTGGACGTAATTATGGAGACCGATGAGAAATAACTGAAACTATGCATGTGATTAATTTATATTTTCAGAACTTGATCCACGAACTGATTTTAGCTCGATCACCATTGAAAACTAGGAAGGACTGGAAAGCTGTCTTGTCCTAGTATGGAAATACAGTATCTTCGGAAGAGAGGTGCTATCGATTTACTTGGCAATAAAGCATTTTCGATATATGGTAAAAAGTAAAATTTTTATTGTGTACACGATTCGTAAAAACCTCTTACGAAAGCATTCAGCGCCAAATAAGATAATTATTCTCCACTACTTCGTTATCATTAATATAGCATATACTAGACATAAATTAGAAAATAATTTCTATCTAAAACAATGATAAGCGCGCTCATTTTATTTGGAAACAGTTATCACAATCTGGTGGTATTGCCATAGACGGATGTTGAACTAAGCACGTTAAGACCCGATAAAACGAAGTTCAATTCATCAGTGTAAATATAATATATGACACGCCAACAAGCCGACACCATCATTTATCCCGAAACTATTGCGACAAAAAGTATTCGGAGTTAGACATAACATATCCTGGAATAAAATCCATGGTCAAATTAATCCGCTTCCTATGGATAAATATAAATGGTATATGCATCAATGGACGCAGGCATGCATGAAGTGTCAAAAGTCAAAGTCCATCGTCATACTGCTTCAGCAATCGATTCCTTCCTTCACCCCTACACCAGATTTGAATATATATATATATCATAGAACCACTACCAATTTCGAACGACTACGACTATTCTTTTATCTGCCACGATGGATTCGAGCGATGGCCTGCAGCAGTGTCAATAAAGGACTGTAGCTAAAACTCTGGTTGAGAGTAGGGCTTCTTTTTATGGAGTACCAGAGGATTGGCAAATCAAGAACAGCATTCCTTCATTTGAAGAACATATGGAACTCAAGACAACTTTCAACCATTATCAAAGTCACAATCTTCAATACGAACGTCAAGGCAGTTCTACTGTACGGAGCTGAAACGTGCAGAACTACAACAACCACCATCAAGAAGGTAAAAGTATTTATCAATAGCTGTCTACTCAAGATACTCAACATCCATTGGCCGGATACCATCAGCAACAGCCTTCTGTGGGATAGAACAAACCAGCTTCTAGCTGAATAGGAAATTAGGAAAAGACGATGGAAATGGATAGGACATACATTACGCAAATCATCAAACTGCATCACGAGGTAAGCGCTAACTTAGAATCCTGAAGGGAAGCGGAAAAGCGGAAGGCTAAATACCACATTACGTCGGGAAATAGAAGCGGATATGAGAAGGATGAATAACAACTGGAAAGAATTGCCCAGGACAGAGATGGAGTGTGCTGGTGAGTGTCCTATGCTCCTCCACGAAGAGTGACAAGCATAAGTATACAAGTAACGTTTTATTTAAGTGACCTACTTCTGAATGATTTCTGATAATCAATACAAGACTTTAAAAAATATTAACTATATGAAATGTATACAAAGATACAGAATTTTACAACACAAAGAACAGAACATTTTTATATAGAAAAAAATTTATCAAATTTAATATAAAATACCACTTATGATCATCAATGGAATTTAATCATCATTAAATAGAGAAATACACAAACATAACACATAAATACTGAAATCTTACACAATGTGTAACTAATTCATATTCATTCAAATCTGATATGATTACAAGTATACCTTATTGTAAAGAGGCGCTAATTAACATAAAACTTAAGTTAATATATACAACCTTATCTGTTGTTTACAGTGAAGTGGTCTAGTGGTTAGGACATTGCATTGTGGCCGCACTAACCCAGGTTCGCATCCTGGTAGTGACATCCTATTGCCCCCGAATTCCCTGGTACGGCCGACAGTGGGGAGTCCGCTCTCTCTCTCTCTCTCGAAATGTTTTCACATGGTCACGCGTATATAGCCTTTGCCAGGGAAGTCTTACTAACGACCTGCTCGTGGCAGGAGTGTTGTTTACTAAATTCAGAAGATAAAAAGAGAATGTCCGGCGCTTTGACCGGTTGGTGGATATGGAGAGTTCACCTAGGCGATTTGGAAAACCCTCATTCCAAACCAATGGTGCACATGGGCTCCAGTATCCTGCGGGAATAAATGGCGTATGAACCAATTGTTGATTACTGGGTACCACGGGATTACATCTTCTTACGATGCTCCATTGCCTTGTGTATCAGATCTATAGGTTGAAGGCTTGGGGTGCGGCCTCCTAAGAAAATCACCTGCTTTGGTTTGGGCAACTAGACAGTATCACAGCCCTCACACATATCAAATGAGATTTATGTGGCGCATATGTATTTGGTGCCTCTTTGTGCCAATATCTAAGTGTTTTCAAATAATAATAATAACTACAAACAGTGCAATGATAAATAGAAGTTCGTTTATTATTGTTTTTCTTTAATTATCATCATTAGTATTAAGGAAGGGTATTGCTATTTTCCTTTTTTTTTATAAAAAAAATTTGTTCAAAGAAGTTCACAACAATAACAATAACGAAAAACCAAACAATCAAACGAGAAAGGAATGTTGACAAGGAATAAACAGAGAGGTAAAT